TAAACATAACTGTGACAGGGGAAAACCAGGAACAGCATTTTCTATACCTAACTTCCAGGGGTGCTCCAAAGGAGCAGGCAGAGATTGAGGCATGGGGAAGAGATGGAGCCATGATTGTATCCTGTTTACAGCAGCCAGCCCAGAGAAATGGGTGTTGTGCTATATAGTGATATCATCTAGGCTGTACAACCAGGAGCTCTGGAAGGCGTTGTGTCCCCCACACAAAGCTCAATGTACCCGGGTGCTGCCCTTGGGGGCAACGTGATTCGGAGTCCATCCCCTGTGCAGAGCTAGGGTAAAGTGTCTCAGTCCAACCCACGGTACAAAACATCTCCTAGTCTCATTAAATCACATGTGGGGCTGGGTATGGAAGGTGCAAATGGAAGTATCATCCAGAGGTGGGCGTATGTTATCTGGACTCGTCTCTGGCTGAGGCATGGTCCTTTAGATAGCTCCTGTTCAGATATTAACTCCGCTGACCCACTGCTTTCCATTCAGGTTGGATGGCCTGTTCTCAGGAATAGGTCTACAAACATAGATGCTACTTATGCTCAGGCTGGTAACCTGAACACTTTGCAATGAGAATGCAAGCTAAACCATCTGAGGGCTAATTGCCCTCCAGTGCCTTTTCATATTACCCTTCACCCACTGCCCAGGACAGAAACTGGGTAAGAGTCAAAGTGTACAGAGCACCTTAGCTCACTGCAGCTGGGTATGCCTATAGGGTATGCCTTCAGAAGTCCTAGCAGCATACATGGCTGAATGCCATGTTATTAAGGCTCTCTCTCAGGTACGGCTTTACAATGTGGCTGCTCTCACTTGAGCACAGCTAGTACTACAGCTTAACCCTGAGTGTCAGGCACCTGGAGAAGGCTGCAGTAGCATCCCTTAAAGCTACAATCCTAAGAACACTTACAAACATGCATAGTTTGATTTCAGTAGGATTATGCACATGGGCAAGATTAAGCACACACAGGAGTAATTGCACGATGGGGCCTGGTGATGAATTGTCCTTTGTTATTCACCCAGCAAGCGAGTAAGGAGGAACATCTGGCCTCTCTCCATCAACCAGCAGTGGCTGCCCCCCAGCTGCCCACCACAGGTAAGACAACTGGGCTCTGCAAATGTGACAGCAGTGTAAGAACAGCAGCTCTTAGGGACAGGGTACCAAGTTTGCCCTGCTACATTTGCACAACTTCACAGGGAAAGGAGTCACCTGTGCCTGTCTCAATATTGTAATACAACATGGTTGTAACACCATCTGCTGCCAGCAAGGCAAATAACTGGAAGCAATGATTCTACAGTAGTGTAGGTATCTATCTTAGGTGTGAATGCAATCCCAATTACTCCAGCATCTGGACATCTGATAATCTCCACTGTATTTGTCTGCACAGCTGTGATGTAAGTGCTGTTATGCTCACTGTACCGATGCAGTCCTGACATCCAGAGAGGCTGAGTGACTTGACTAAAGTTGACACAGCTTTGACACAGGAAGGCTGGGACAGAGCAGGGATTTGAACCCAAGTGTCCTAGACTGATACAAATTTATCATTGTCTAACCAACTTTTAAATATTCTAATTTTTTTGTTTTCTACAAGAAAACCTTACAGAGTTACTAGCATTGATGCCTTCCTGTGCGTTGTGGTGCCATGCAGGAAAAATCATGGACCAATATTTCACAATTTTTGTTTTTTAAACAATGACAGGGTATTTAAAACACAGGGTAATTAAGGCCTTGTACAGCTATGCACAGCTGGAAACCCTCATGTAAAACCACACGGGAATGCTCTCTTCCTACAGTTTGGCTAGAACTGTAATGGGGGTTTTCTTGTTTGTGTCTTTTTTTTTCACAAGCACTTTAATTAGCCTCATATTTTAGTACTGCTGTGTTATTGCAATATGTTACTTTTTGACTCAGGAGAATTTTTCACGTGTTCTCCTCAATAAAGTTCCCTGATAAGAATGACACATTAAATGAGTTATAATTAGCTATTGCTGTCTTGGTCTTACAGGAGCACCAATAGTCCCAAATTACTGATTAGGATTCTGCTGTCCTACGTACTGGATGGATGGAGGAGGAAAATCCAGGTCCTATTTAAGATACTGTCATGGTAGGCCAGATGGAGGTGTGCCCCATTCCACCAGATGGAGGTGTGACAGCAGTATGGGAAGAGCCCCACAATGGCTGCAATTGAACCAATATGGTGGTAGAACCAATATCATGGTGCTGTGGGCTTCAGTATGTGCAAGTAATCATAGCATGAGCCTTTGTGGGAAGTAGGCCTGTGGTTACTCTGGGCTGAAGTATGTGCCACTGGCTCTGATTGGATTAAGGTCTGGATTAAAAGCTGCTAGGGGGATTCCTACTTGTGTTACAACCACCCCCACCCCTGTCCTGCCTACCCCAAGTCTAGTGCTTACCAATCCTTACACCTGTGCCCAGCAACACACTTGAGCAGTCACCTCCCCACCCCCAAGAGCTGCGCTTGCAGGACCCAGGCAGGGCCAGCCCACCCTATCCTGCAGCTACAGAGGGCCCTGCCGCCAAGAGGCCGTGCCCTGTTTGCCCCCCACCACCTGTACCATGTTTAAAGAGCTCAATGCAGGCAGGGAGCCCCTTCCCGGCCAAATGGAGGAGGAGTTCCTGGCTCCACTCCTGCCCCAGGGAGGGAACCCAGGCATCCCCAACACATGCTGGGCCCATCCCGTGCCCCCACAGTGCAACCCACGTGCGTGCAGCCTGGCCCTGATGATTTTATTTCAGTGAGTTTACACTGCAATTAACCGCAATTTTGATTTTTTGATGGCTCAGGGGGCCCCAAAACCATATTTTGCAGGGGGCCTCAAAAAACTGTGGGTCAGCCCTGGACCCAGGTCTGTGCTGAGGCTATAACAACCTGCCCCTTCCCCCACAGACTAAGTCAGAGTCCCTCAGCCTCCAAAGCAGGGGTTCTCAGCCCCTTTTGTACTAGGACCCATTTGTAAGCATGGATGGCCAGTCCCTCCCAGGGTGGCCATCATACAGGACATCCTGGTTTTCTGCTACTCTGTCCTCTATTGATGCAAAACCTGATGCTGTTATGTCCTCTAGTTTTCTCTTCAAAAGAAAACTAGAGGACATAAAGGTGTCCAGTTTCATATAAATAGAGGACAGAGGGCAACCAGACTGTCCTCTATGATGGCCACCCTAGTCCTTGCCCCAGTGCCCCTCTCTCCCGACCCGCTGCCCCCTGCCCAGGCCCTCAGTGTGTGGGGCAGGGGGTGGGTGTGAGGCATGGGGGAGCCCCCAAGCAGAGGGAACTCTGCCGGCTTGCAAGCAAAAAGCCACAGATTATTTATTTATTTATTTATTTTGCATCCAAAGCCAAATTAGCCAAAACTAATTCCAAATTCAAGAGTCCAGAACCATAAGTGACCCTACAACCGACAAACATCCTCCACCTGCACCTGGGGCTTCACATGTTTCCAAAACCTTTGGCGGGCATCCTACTTGCAGGCCCAGGCTTGGGGTTCGGATGCCCCTGAGTTTTGCTTGCCCTCGGCCATCAGGCCCCCAGAGCAAGCAAGGGAGGAGACTCCCATTTCCATAAACTGAGCTTAAAGCCATTGCACCTCAGCAGGTCCTGAACTGTGCCAGAAGAGCAGTTCTCCCGTGGAGCGGTTCAGGAAAACTGCCTTCTTGGACACAGAGACATGGCATTTCCCCTGCCAAGTTAAGAAGCCACCATGCTTAATCTGAGCCTTCAGGAGGCCGAGAAGTGACAACCTGCCCAGGAACCGACTGAATTTTACTAGTAGGTGTTTGGAATCATAAACCAGAAAGATGAGAAAGCCAGAAAGGAAAGAGTGAGGGACTAACATAAGAGGGATGGGGGTGGGACACGCAGCCAGGTTACACAAAATACAAGAGATTGCACTGTTTTAGGACACGTCCAGAGTCATGAACCAAAAAGATGACAAAGCCAGAAGGGAAATACAGAGGAACTAACATAAGAGGGATGGCGGTGCGGAGGGAAATGCAACTAGGTTACAGAGAACACAGTACAACGCCTGAACTGAGCCGTCAAGAGGGCAAAGCCACTGATCCCCATAGTCCCCCCAGCAGGAAAATCCGTTTGTAAAGTGTGCTTGCCGCCCTCCCACACATTGTCGCGACCCACCTTCGGGTCCGCCCCGGGGGCTGAGATACTCGGGCCGGTCCAGGGTGACCCCGCCTGAGGAAGGGCTGGGAGGGGTGACCCGCGCACCCGCTTTGCAGCGTACGCAGAGACACGCGGGCGGGGCCTGAGGGACGCGCTGCGGCTGCGGGGCCGCGAGCACCACCACGCCCGTGGGGGGGGGGGGGTGGGGGCGTGTTACCTCCAGCCCCGGGGCGGTTG